GTTAGGTTACACCTCGCCCAAATGTATGGATAGGTAACATATCAGCCATTCAGGAGTGAGCTGCTAAGATAGATTAGTCTGTAAATACTAACTCATCAGTTGAAGAAGCACGGTCTGAAGAATTATAGTTTACTATGGTTTTAGTACTGCTCTAATAATATACCTAATCCTAATATCGTAGATTTGTCATGATATAACTGCCTAATCTATGAGATCTTACGTGGAAGTCACATCATCGTCTACACCAACTCACCACATCGTAGCAATTACCAACAAATGATAGAGAGCAAACTTAGGCTAGAGACAGAACAATATATTTAATGTGAATAAAAGATATAAGGTGACATTCAGAAGGGACCACGCCTGCAAGGCCGAGCAAATCCGTACGACCAATTACAGTTGATTCGATTCATTCTTCCTGCCCTCTTCATCGTTGGGTTTTTCTCCGTGTTAAATGTTGAATGTCTATTTCCTACAATGTCTCGTATTAAAGCCCATTGCCACTACAGGTATGTATTTAAAGGTAAGTTTAGTTTAGTTACGTCCTCGTACATACCATACCTGGTACCGCGTAGACCGAATAGCAGTTCACCATGGGTAACTAAACGAGTTAAAAAAACTGCCTACAAGGAGGAAAAAGCGCTAGAATATGCTCATCTCTACTGGCTTATAACAATACAGACCAAGTTATGGTAAGATTAGGAATGCCTGTAAAGCGTTAATAAATAAGGCTAGACAATCATATGAAAGACACTTGGTTAGGTATTGTAGATATGTTCCGAAACGGTTATTCTCATATATAAAAAGGCGAACTCAGAGAGGTGATGGAATTCCATCGCTTTTGATATTGTAAATACGTTAATCTTGTCAAGAAATGATACCAAAGAAACTGGAGCCTTATCGGAATATTTCAGTAAAGTGTTATCTATCAGTAATGAAGAATGACCAACGATTCATTGTGATTGTGGCGTCTCATTGATGAACTCCAGTCATTTAGAAAGGTACTGTCTTGAGGCTACTTCAGCATCTCGCACTTGATAAGTCCAGTGGTCCTGATGGTATTCATTCTGGGATTATGAAAGCCATATCAGATGTACTTGCTGAACCATTAGCGATACTGTTTGACATGTCTCTGAGACAGTCCAGAGACTGGAAAAGCGGAATAATAGGTCCTGTGCATAAGGCTAGGAGTAGGGATTTAGTTAGTAACTATAATCCCGTTAGCTTAACTGGTGCAGTTGTAAAACTGTTGAAAAAATAATTCGAATATCTGCTATAAACTATGTTGAAGGGTATAATCTTTTCTCCAGGGAACAATATTGTTTTCGGAGAGGCCTATCATGCTTGACAAATCTCATTGCAAGAGAAGATTGGGCTGCTGCAAAAGATCGGAATACTCCTGTGGATGTGATCTTCATAGATTTAGGTTAGGCCTTTGATAAGGTCTCCCACTCTGGTCTTAAATTCAAACTGGAATGTTTTGGAATCCATTATACAGTCGTAGATTGGATAAGTAACTTTCTCCATGACAGGAGACAAACGGAAATGGTAAATAAAGCTCTTTCTTCGTGGGTACCTGTGAAAAATGGAGTTCCCCAAGGTACAAACCTCGGTCCACTCTTCTTTTTACTTTATGTAAATGAATTACCAACTATAGCAAAATCATCCGTTCTACTCTTCTCTGATGACATGAAAATATGGAGACCCATACACAGTATGTGGGATAGATAGTATTACAGAATGATCTCAGCTCATTGGTGGCATGCATGGACAGATGGTCATTAGAAATAAATCCTAACAAAAGTGCAGTGATGCAAATAAATAATTATGATGAATCGCATCACTACACAATATGTGGATTCGTGCTCAAATGCTTCAAAATGGTCCAAATGGTTGTGGACGGAATAGAAGAAGCTTTCGCTTAACAGGCTTCCGTGTGTAGTAGCAGGGGATCACGAAATCCTCCAGGCAGGAACCTAGGTATGTTAACAATAAAAGAGGAAAAGAAATTGGTAAATCATAGTGTGATGCTGTCCTTGGTCCTTAAGAATAGGTCAAGTTGCCTCTTGAAAGACTCCTGAGAAGTCGCTTGGACTAGCTCGGACGGCAGCGAATTCCAGCTTTTGTCAACTCTTAAGGAGTAGAAGTTGTGTCTACATTCCGTCTTGCTATGTTGTGTTTCCAGCTTCTGGGTGTTACCCCTTAGGTTATTATTCGAACTAAGCTTAAGTAGGTGTTTAAGAGGATGTCCAGAAGTGTTAAAATACTATAAGCCATTAATAAATCACCTCTAAGACGCCTATATTCTAGTGGGTAAAGGTCTACTGAACGAAGGCGTTCTTCGTAAGGCTTAGATTTGAGTCCTCGAACTGATTTCGTGGCTCGCCGTTGGATACGCTCCAAAGTGACCTTGTCCTTTTGGAGTGAGGGGGGAGTACTATGTTTCCGTACTCTAAATGGGGACGGATGAAACTATTGAAGATTGTGTGGAAAGTTCTTCCGTCAAACTGGCCAAAAATGCGCCTCAACGTTACCAGTGCAAGGTTTGCTCGGAAGGCATTTTTGTCACAGTTGGCGTAAGACTTTAAGTCATTGGGCACCAGGACTCCTAAATCTTTTTCGACTTTGGATACTACTAGAGAGGAGTTTCCTAAGTTGTAACTGTAGTTTGCGACATGTCGCAGATGGACTACTTTACACTTTGAAGTGTTAAAGGTAAGTCCGTTATCGTCTTCCCAACTTTGAAGTCGAGTCAGATCCTCCTGAAGTGCCTGTATATCGTCTTGGTTGCGTATCTCTCTCCAAAGTTTCACGTCGTCGGCAAAAAGTAATAAGTCTGACGTTACCTGTTGAGGAAGATCATTTATGTAGATCAAGAAGAGAAGAGGCCCTAGTACTGAGCCCTGGGGGACCTCACTAGGACATTGCATAGCCTGAGATAAAGTGAAATTAACCCTTACCTTAAAGTGTCGATTTTTAGGTACGAAGTAAGCCAATCGATTAGAGGTGGTTTGATACCTAGTTGTATGAGCTTATTGATAAGACACAAGTGGTTAACCTTATCAAAAGCTTTTGAGAAATCAAGGTAAATGACATCAACCTTTCCCTTACAATCGAGGATGCTTGTCCATCTGTCCACCGCAGTCAGCAGGTTGGTTATACAAGAGTAACGCTTCCTGAAACCATGCTGTTGGGGTGAGAAGAAATTTAAGGACAGTAGATAGTCATTTAAACCGTCGCATATCAGGGACTCCATGAGTTTTGAAGGTAATGACAGAAGAGCCACCGGCCGATAACTTGAAGGTTCATTGCGTCGACCACCTTTGAAAATTGGTGTGATGTGAGCCAACTTCCAATTTTCCGGTAATTTGCCTCCGCTAAGCGAGTGTGAAAACACCACGCTAAGCGGCGTTGCCAGGATTGAGGCTGCCTCCCTCAGTATGGCAGGATGAACCATATCCGGGCCAGGAGAAGTATCAAGTCTTAAGTGCTGCAATTTCCGGAACACCAAGTCAGCGCTTAGGTCCATTTCAGAATGTCCTGTTTGCCTAGGGAGTCTAGTACCGTCGACGTAATGATGGTACTGAGCCTCGACACGTCGTCGTTAGTGTTGATGGACGCTCCATCGATGGAACACCTATCGACATCCCTGTTTTTGAGTCCGTTGCACGCCCTTGTTTGTATATCGGCTTTTTTACTATCGTTTTCCAAGTTAACTGACAACTTGTTCCGAAGACCTGTCAGTAGGACAATGATGTTACTCAGCAAGACTACTGAGTCCGTGCTGCACGTGACACATACCCACTTTTGGTCTGACTTGCTGAGTCTGTTGTAAGCAGTTGCTATCAGATTTGTGCATGCTTCGTGGAACCAACCATTGCAGTTGTCGCACTGCATGCCAGTTGTGACAGCAAAATGGCATCCCGGACGTTTGCATGAGTTTTTTGTGACGGTGTTGAAGCAAACTATGTTATAGATGCTTGCAAGAGCCTAAGACCTTTTAAAAAAACACTAAAAAGCACACTGAAAACGGACAAAAATGGACAAAACGAGTGATATAAACTGTAACTAGTCTATACGTGAAAAACAAAAAAAACCGAATAGTAAGCTGAGGCAAAACCACAGGTAACTATTAAATATAGTGAAACTAAAAAAATAATCTACCGAACGTATAGCTCAGTATAGATTCTTTAGAACTGAAATGGTACTTTTGTTGCGTAAGAACACAGCAAAAGTTTGATAAATGTAAATCACGTTAGGACTAAACTTCCCGAGGTAAGAAACTATAAAGATTTAAGAGTCATATTAAGCAATGATCTCAAAATCACCAGTCACTGTAAGGCTGCTGCTGCTGTGAAAGGCTATAGAGTACTATGGTCTATGCGTAGGTCTTTCCAATATTTAGATGATGAAATGTTTAGATTATTATACCCGATTTTCGTGCCATCACATTTAGAATATTGGATTTAAGCAGCGAGCCCTTCTTTCAAGTACGAAACATATGCTGGAAAGAGTCCGACGACGAGAGACCAAGATGGTACAAGGTCTATCTGGCTTATCTTATGAAGACAGACTCAAACACTTTAACTTATTTCCGTTATCATACCGTAGAATACGGTATCGTATACTGAACGATGACCTTGATATTAACATGTCTTACCATTTACTTCCGCCCAGGAGTGATCATTTGAGAGGATATTCGAAGAAAGTTCAAAAACTGAGATCAAATCGTTTACGTCTGGAGTTTGGTTTCTCTCATCGGGTAGTGAATTACTGGAATTCTATACCGGAAAACGTAATATCAGCATTTTCTGTCGATATATTCAAAACAAGATTGGACCTCCACAGTATTACAAACTGCAAAGATTAATATAGGTCGGTAGACCCCCTATCCTTATTACTGAAGACAGAAGACTGAATACCATGCTTTGTTTGAACTAACCAAACGGCATAAACTATGGCAACAGAATGTACACTCGTGTGATACAAATGTCTGAAAGATAAAGTAATATCAAATATTTCAAGTCGTAAGCACGATCAGGTGAGATATATATGGTTTTTACATGGTGTTTATATGTATACAAACACAAGCAAGAGTTTTTTCACTAAAAACAGACCCCTATTTTGGGGAAATTTTGTCCATTTTAGAGCAATTTTGAAGAAAAGTTTTTTCAAAATTGCACAAAACCCCCTGAAATTTCCACATGCTTGGGAGCATCCTCAAAAGTTTGAGTAAAATTGCCAATTGTGATTGGATTCTGGAGAATACCTCAAAATATTTGAGGTGTTACAATCTCCCAATATTATAAGATTGTTACACAGAATCTTTTGAAATAATAACTTCAGGAACCATAGTTCGTGATTGCTTAATCACACACTTGCCATTTTATCAATCGTCACTGAATTATTGAAGACATTGCTACTAATGGATTGGAAGTTTAGTTGAAATGAATTAAGATGCATCTTTCTCAATCAACCAATAAAAACAATAAAAGCAAACAGGGGCAAATTAAGGGGTCGTTCCATCACAAAATAAGGAACATGTCGAAAACTTCTTTTTGCCTCTCCGTTTGAAATGTCGCTGAGTTGTCTACTTTTAGCCTAAATTCATGCTGAATTGTCTACCTTTTGTTGAATTACACTCTTGGTTGTCCGTCATTCACCTAAGCACAAATACCTCTCAGATATTGCCTTCACTTTCATCACAAAACACACGAAGACTATAATTGACCAGACTAAAAAATGATACATGGCTAAATACATTTATTAGCTAAAAATAACATCATAGTTTACGAGCAAATTAATAACAGACAGATGCTCGATCTACGATCTTTATATATTTACTTTGTAAGTGCAAAGTTACAATGTCATTTGCGAAGATCTACAAAAGAATTTACAGGTAATGGATTAATTGAAAATATGTCCCACTTGATAAACACATATCTAATTGAACTGCCTTCCACAACACTGGCTTTATTAGTTCAAGCGCCTCACATGCGAGTCAATACATGGCAAGAAAAGGCTTTAATAAAAATTAATGTAAACATAAAATTGCATTTCAATGAGAAAGCCTTTCTTAAACTGCAGTATTTTATTCTGAAATTTAATAACCACAAAAACTTGCAACGATTTTCAACTATCTTAGTTTGTTAGCTGACTGTCGATGTGGAGTATGAATTACAGTTATGCTCGTTAATATTGACCACTGCACCTACAGAACAACAATAAAAATTTATAACTTTAGATTAATACATTCATGTTCTGATTTTATTCTGTGACACTTTTGTAGTTTGTATCATGTGAAAATACCCTTGAGTCGCGATTTCAAGCACTTTAGCAAAATGTTTCCGATTACTGCTTATACTCATACTACATTTACCACTACGGGATTTGAATTGAAAATTGTATCTCTGTGCTAATGCGGTATGGCAACTTGAATTGATGTACGTACGTACGAAGTAACAATCAAATAAATTTAGTGGACTTGCAGATTTGCCCCTCGTATCTTCTTTCTGAAGACATGCATCCGATTTTCGCAGTTCCTCTTCGGATGACAAAGGAAACTGCAAACTTGCTCGTTCAGTATCATGTTTTCATGAATGGTCACATCCATTACACTTAGATACCAACTGCCTAATGTTCGCACTCAAGTCTGATAAAGCTGATGGCATATTTTGCAGAACAGCATGTGGTTCATCGAATCCTGAGCATTAACTTAAATTGGAAACGTAACTTACTCGGCCCCTAACGCACTGCTCATACGCTTTCACTCGGACATTGGGGGTGATACATTTACTGTGTTGAACTAGTTTACTAACATTTTCAATTAAAACCGCCTACTTCGCAGCCGGTGATATGATAGTGCCCAGTATCCTGGATTTAGAATATTGAATACGGTTGTTTCCAGCCCTCATTTTAGCCACACACGTGTCAACGAAATTATACAGGAACTCTTCTTTCCGTTTCGATTCACCTCTGAAAAATATTAATAAAATTACTGTACTGACGTTTTCGGCTTCTCTGCGTTTAGTAGCTAGGTATTTTCATCCATCAAACTACTAGCATGGTAACCAGTAAAATTATTGAACCAATAAACAACTCTTTTTCAGTCTGTAAACTATCTATAGCAAATGAATGACACTGTATTTATAAGTCACCACAGTAGTTGGTGACCTTGTACATAAGAAGTAACCAATCATTGTCTGACTGGGCTTTGTTCTGCAAGACGGTAGCATACCAACAAAGTTCTTTACCTACACTCCATTTTCTAGCTGCAATTAGGACCTCCCTCTTGCTTGGTACTTCGTTAAGTACGAACTACAAAATGGTTAGGAATGGACTTGAAGTAATATTATTAGAAAGACAAAAATGCGGTTCACGTGAATGTATCTAGCAATGAACAAATCTACATTATTAAGACGGTTAAGGGAAATACATTTACAGTTTACACCGTTAATTGAAATTCATATGTACTCATGAATAACTATCAAGCACATGGATATACCTATTTCACTAGAAGGAAATGTTCAGTGAAGTAATCCCATGTAACAATAAATTGTCTAGATTTAATTAGTCCGTTTTCCCCTTTACCAATGACTAGCTCATGTTTACCGTGTAATATAATAACGTTATCGGGCGCAAACGGATTTATTCTAGTGTTCTTTAGCGTTATTTGATTTTTGTGACCAGACTTGACGGATGTGGGCAGAAACGCTGCCTTACAGCCTACCACATAAAGATATTTCCCCCTAACACTGAACTGCTCGTTTTGCTACAGTATAACTGCTATGCACCAATCTTTCAATCTGTCTAATACAGGACTCAAATGGGAAGAATGAAAAGAATCTGAAGCTCCATGTGAACGAACGTCATCACAAAGGTGTTTCAACAAATGCACTTTTTAAACTAGATATTCAGTTCCATTCCATCATTCATATTCTTTATGAAGATATAATAAATCATTCTTAACAGAATCCGATGCTCTGCTATGTAATGTGGGATGCGCTAACAAATAAATCGCTAGTGCTAAAAGCTTGAAATTCAGGTATAACGGTAGTGGTAAATAATGTTTAGGAGTAACGAAGGCTGAATAAAGAAGGAAAACTGAACATTTTGTCGCTTTTCATACTGGGAAGAAGTCTGATGCCCGACATTTACGCTGAAATTCTGATGGAAGATTTTCAACACAACTTGAGATTAACTTATTTATATCCGTAACTACAGATTTGTTCGTGTTTATAATTCTTTTGTGATAGAAATCTATCGATAGACTGATTAGCTTCTTTGCCACATCTAAGTATACAATGTTCATTGGATCTAAATGGAATGCAGAAATCATGTTAATGCAAGTGTCCCGAAATTGGAATGGTCTTGATAGCGAATTGACTGGCTCTGCTGGCGAAAACTGTCATCAGATCGCAATGTATATTCATCACTTGGAAACCTCATTCTCCTGTCAAGGCGACGGCTTACTGTAATACACCTATCGCAGCCTAATTTTATATTGTGGTTAACTGTGTATCTAACATCTTAATGAGCAGGTGCGTCATAGACTACAGCGACTAGTTTAATAGCTACGTATTTATTGTACCTAACAGTATTCAGCCCTAGATCGCTCATTTCTTTTAATTCAGAAATAATGTCCTCAGATACTTCATCAAAGTCAGTCGGCTTAGTATTCTCTCCATAGATACCTATGATGAATATACCTCTAAAACTAGGGGTAGCGATGCGTCTTAATGTAGGCCATAACTATTGACTAGATTTCCTTGAAATAGACGGCCCATCTACATTATTACGTAAGTTCAAGTTATCGAAATCAGTTGTTATAACAACTTACTGCAAACAAATATATCGGGAAACTCGTAGTTATAGTGGTATTTACCACCACCATGGTTATGATTATGCTGCCAAGTTTTTATAGCCAATTTTGACTCCGACTGGTAACGACGACAATGATGAAACAAGGATCCTTACCAGCTCCATGCATACGTTTCGTAAGCTGATATTTTTAATAATGACAAGAACAAACAGTTCAAATATGAGTAGTACTAAAGGTCTACATATTCCATGCACATTATTTTACAAATAAACGATAAAAACGAATAAAAGAACATTACGCAGAGTACAAGTAGTCGTAAATTGGCCTTTTTGGTTAAGATCAGTGAATTGAAAGTGACTCAGCTTATATAGTTAGTATACAATGACTAAAAAATATGGACACAAAAATACTGACATAAACACTGAAGTGTATGCTATGCGAAAGTGAATAGCTGGCCACAAAATACGTACAGTATGATTAATACGGTTACTAATGTCACAACTGTTAGTCTGTTTTTTCCTGTGTATACATTAGTGGTTAGAAAATGGAATTATACGGGAAGGCTCGTTGCAATTCTAGAATCATAAACCCAGCGATTTCTATCACTTTTGGTTTATATTCGTCGTTCCAAAAACCCTGTATTTATAGCCTGTAGCTCTGTCCTAACTATATATATCGTCATGGCCTAGTGTATACCTTGATCCCATCTTACATTTTTCCAAACTTGTATTAGTGCGTCTGTGATCCCACACTGAAATTAATCATGAATCTGAAGAAAATACGCATGTTTCAACAAGTATTATCGGTAACCATTTTACACTATGATCATTTGAATTTAATTCTGCTTTAAGTAAAATTACTTTCCCGATAGTTTTTTGAAGAGACTAGCTCAATTATTTTGTTACCAATTGAAGTGATCTAGTAGTTTGACCGGTCACTGAGTTTATGCGTTATATTATTAGAACATCATCCCAGACTTTCCTATTAATGTTGGGGGTAATTAGCATTTGTCAATTTTCGTAAATAGAACAATCCTTCTATAGTATCGTTTTTAGGCACAATTCTTTGATGCCACCGGTAAATAAACAAAAGGTAAAGATCATAATCCCATAAAATGTACTAAAGATACGACCGAAATGTCTTAGCGTTATTACTCAGCACATGAAAATCGTGAGCCCGATAGAAGTAAGCCGTGCATCGTCTCAGTTAGATCTTCTTAAATACGTAGCGTTTATTACATATGTATCTTATTAGGACACCAATATAAAGATTTATAGTCGTTGCTTTTGAGTAACATTTAGATTATACTGTATATAAGTATACCAGCCTCAAAACACAAGTACTATTCCATCAGGTACTTAGACTCTTGTAATATATGTGAGTTATGACTGGTAACCGAACGAAATATCAAACATCTATAGTTAATACCATTTTGGCAGCCTAAGAACTTGTTTCCTAAATACTATGTTATGTATGGAAAACTTTTACCTATGACGTTTTTTTGTTCGAGTTCACTCAAATTATTCAAACGCCTCTTATGAATTCACATCTTGTCCGAAGATTTGTCGTTCAGTTTAGGATATCTAAAAAACATTCATCATTTCCAGGACGCAGTTCACTGAGCACATTTCATAAATATTTAAGTGTTGAACATAAATATTTCACATAACAAATGTAAGAGTGCATCTCAAAACTGCTCCACATTGACTTCTGATGTAAAAGATGTAAGATACCTAGATTCATCGACTACGCTATCTGATATAACTTTAAGATCACGAACTAAACCGATCAAACATAGTCAACACTAAAGTTCAGATTATATAACCATGCTTGTCTCTAGCAACCTACTGATAAACATTTTACTATATTACAAAGACATGAATAACCTTAGCGCTTGTTGATGAGTATAAGTAATTTTATGTCAGACATTGACTTTCGGGTTATTTGATAAATACCTGATATATAATACTTGAAACATTATAAGCCATGATACGGATATATTTGCTTTATAACCACTTATGCCATGTAAAGTGTTGGTCATAAGTACAAATTACGCTGGTAGATGGGACCACGTACAACCAAGCATAAGAATGAGCCGTTCAGGGTGGTAACAAATTATTGAAGATGATACCTATGCTCACAAAGACGTAAAGCTCAATGAATGTGCGTCTAGTTAAATGAATCGGACACAGAAAATTAGAAAGTGATTTACTTTGGAATTTATAAATTACTGATTGGTATCAAAACATGGAATGAGTGTTGTGGAATTAAAACGTGTTATTAAAATCAGTAGATATTAATGGAATGAAATAACAATTATGCAAAATATGACATTTAAAATAAGGTTTAGAAAATAATCATATTATTTAATTCATGCTCGATAATTAATTAAGCTTGTGGATTTCTTTTACTCCCATTTTTTGAGCCATATTTAACTATGAATAAATAATCTTAATATGGATACATAAAATACCTAATTTAATCACAGCCAATGCGTATTTTTCTCAGATTGGACCACATTGTTTCGCAATAATATTAACTCAATACTTTTCATTGATAAAGTTATTCGCATTCATGGACCCTTCTTTTATTAGATACCTAACCGAAAACTGCTTCTGTCAGATTGGAACCAAAATATAACGGTGAATGTATTGGTCTCTACTAGATGGTTTTCAAAATATGCTAGTCACCTGAGTTATCCAAAAATGTTTTAGCTTACTATTCCTGGTTTAAAAATGAGTACCTTTCACACGGTGAAAACTACAAATCTGCAGAATTTACTTGTTTTAGACTATTTTTGATAAGTACAAACCTTATTCGGCATCAGATAAACCCTTAGTTATCAAATACTAGAAAATAAATCGTTATACAGTTCTCAATCCCTAATTTATTTAATTATGCACATGATTATCACTATTGACATTTATGTAACTATCTAATTTTCAACTTTTCAACAATGAGTTAATGTGCTTTTACTTACAACCATTATCGTGAGGATAGTATGTCCCTAGTAAGATCTTATTTACTTGATTCTAAGTTAGCTCTTAGTCACAATTTTAGTAAATTATCCTAGTTTTACGGGGATAATAAGGTTCTGTAATTATCTAACTAACGTAATTTTGATACTTAATTTGATATATCAAACTCAATAATTGAATAAACTAGTTGTTTTTTTCCACCATAGATGTCACGAGAAAAAGCTAAAAGCAATGAACATAGTGAAGAACAAAAGTATCAATATGCTGTTTTTGCACAAATGGAAAGTCTGAGTGAAAAACTCAAACTACTGAATTATGAGAAAAAATTTTGCAAGTAATCACATCTAAGAATAATAAGTCATTGGTAGGCGACGACATCAAAAACCTATCACAAGACATTATTTTGCAATTCCTACTAATCCTGGTGAACAATTTCATTGTTTCACTACCCTAGCTGCGTGGCTGATTTCACAGGCAAACTGTAAAATTGACCAACCGCAAGAATACGACGATCCGAATGCAACAATATCAACTATTTTAGATGCTGTCAGAACTCTAGGATATGTTGTAGAGTTCCCACCTTTAAAACTGAAAAGTGGATGTGGTGAATATTGCATTAATGTTCTTAACATGTTGGCCGACGCAAGCCTGCAGGTTCAAAACATTAAACTCCTACCACCTGAATATCCAGAAGATGAAGTAGAAGAGTCTGGTGTTCAAGACGGTGAATCATCGCAAACTGACGAAGAAACAGAAGAGTGGGTCGGATCTTCAATCGGTAGTCGATTCAAATATAGTCTGTCAGACTGCGACAGGCTAGGGAATTGTGAGGAACAAAGTGATGATGACGATGATGAAGAGGTGGTTGACTTAAAAGGTAAATTACTGTTTCTTCATTTTGAAATTAAAAGTTTTTCTTTAGTAATGGCCAAACTAAGACTGTGTAGTCCGAAATTTAGCAAAACAATATTGTAGGAACTATTACCGCATTTCACGGGTTTCATAATGTTGAGAACTTTCCTAACTTTCATTTTTCCTAAACAAAAGCATGCATTGACTACACCACATTTTTTTACAAATCGTATATCCATCCTTTTCTTCATTAACATGAATTAACATTTCAGTGATAATATACGAAATCCAAATCAATAAAATAAGAAATAAACTATTCAGGCCACATGATTTTTGATTTATAAACATTTCTATGTAGACGTTTCTCAAAGATTTATCTTGACGATCTCAGGATAAAATTAATCGACTTGTGACCAAAATTATAATCGTGATGGTGTATAGTTATGTACAAGTTAATTTGTCAGTGAAAATGTAGAAACTGTACTCATATGGAATCATATTTTTTAAAACCTGTGAACTATGGAGTAAACCATCTCCTGACAGATATGTCACTGGACTCCAAATAAAGTTCACGTACTGAGATCACAATAAAGACTGGGTAAATCAGATTCCGTTATGTAACAACTCATCAGTTGATTGTATCTGTTATCTTTAAAAGACTATTCATTATTAATTATAGGAATTAATCTAAAACCTAACCAAAGTCATAAAACAGATTTGACCGAAAAACAGACAGAACTTAAACCTGCAGGCAAAATAGATGAGAAAAGACCGAATAATCGTGCAGTCTTAGAATGCTCTACAGACCCAGCAGATTGGAAACTTGAAGTTGAACGGATATTACCACAACTACGTGTCAATGTTCACAGTGATGTCAAAGACTGGAGAACTCATCTGGATCAAATGAAGCAGTTGATAATGGAAATCGAAACTACCTTTCAGGATGCTAAATTCCAATTAATCAGATTACACGATGATCTGAATTCAGATGTCGATAAAATAAATAACCGAGAGAAGTATATGAATAATCAAGTGGAGCCTCTGTTGGCGCAATATAGAACTGTACAGGTAGGCTCCCAAGATCTTTTCATATTGCCTTGAGTTGTTCAACCGGAACAGAGAACAGACCTCCTAGTCAAACAATCAGTTGATTTTTTTAATCAGTCCTGGAACCTTGTCACCTACAACGGCTGACTATGAAAATAAGTACTGAATCCTGTAATTTACATTTCGGAAAGATATTTTTCCGCTAACTGGTCACAAACTAATAGTAAACCAATGCAAACTTCGACGTATATATGCTGGAGTTTAGTGCATGCGATTCCAATAACTGTAATATAACTAACGTAACTCAATACACATATACAGGTTTATTCATATGCAAAAACATACGTTAATTTGAAATAGCGAGTCAGTAGTTGAAAGTAGGGTGACAAAAAGACTAAGCCACCATCCCAATTATCTGAGTAGAAGTCTGGTTGATAAGTGAACAAACTGAGAGTAATTCTCGTTAGAATTTTATAAATCTTAAAATTTCAAGAATATGAAGCACTTATCTCAGCAGTATTAGGAATATGTTGGTTTAAAAGAAAACTGAAGATACAAAAGTTTAGTCCCATTCTCAACCTACATTTCTCGTTGAGGTAATTTATTAAAATTATCCATCGTAGCGCATTACGTAATTGAACCCTATAAGATAGTTTACATACTAACTTTCGTGACTTGAATGCATGAGAAAACCCTTTACGATCGATTTGCTGTAACTGTTACTGCTAAGACTCAGTAATTGCCTTGTCCATTGACTGAAGGTCGCTAAGACCTATCGCAACGTATTTCTTACGCTTTAAATATTGATACAATGGAAAACAAAGTCTTAGCTTTGAAATACTCATAATCCCAACGTTTCTGTCAGTTGTTATGCCGGAACTTCAGTGTTATAAATTATTTCGAAGAATGTGAGTATGAGGTGTACGCTAATCGAAATTTCCTGTAAGTAAACTTTTAACTCAAATGTATAGTATACTGTAGAGGTCGATTTCTCCCAATTTGACTTCGAAATACATCCTGTTAACTGTGTATTTTAGCAGACCAGTTATTTTGACAGCACCATTAATTTACTCGACAATATTCAAAAGCCAAAACACCAGTTGTTGTGAGTGTATTGTTATTAATTAGTCAAATCTGCAAACACGAAAGCGGCAAGCACACTGGGAAGTAAGTGAAAAGTCGGAGCATGTCTATGTATTTTGTGCTAATCAATATGTAGGTAAAGATATCGGTTATCTGTGTTTACAACCAACGAGGATAGATAAAGATTGAGGTGTAGACATGCTTTCAATCAGACACAAACATAATTTTACAGTGAACTTATTGTCTAAATTACAGTATATAGGAATTAAAAAACGTAATGAGTTTACTACAATACGATACCAATTAGAAACGTCAAAATAGTGATATCATTAGAAGCTCATGAAAATCATGACAAAAATTACTGAATGTTCTAAAAAGGGAGATGTAAATACTGTTGGCTAATAATGAATACTTGGAATATGCATACAATTAATATTGTGAAAAGTACTATTCTAAAGATAACTTATTTCGTGAGTACTACAAACAAGTGTTTTATGTGTATACTCAAAGACAGTATTTCACAAACTATTAATACAGCTACATGTATGATCTTTTTATATTTGTATTTTTATTATAGGATAACTTAAATGATATAAATGCCAAGTATCGAGAAGCAAGTGGCGGAATCACTACTCGAAGTCGTACTTTATCTGAAATCAGTGAAGAACTGGAACGTGTCAAAACAGAGATGGACGAAAAAGGCTTGAGTATGACAGACAGTTCGTCTGTAGTGCGTATTAAACAAGCTATTCAGCGTCTTAAGTCAGAGATTACTACGATGGATATCAGAACTGGTGTTTTGGAGCACATCCTACTTAGAACACATTTACGAGTTCGTGAAGATAGTCAGAAACCATTTACTAAGATGATGGAATCGTCAAATGGAAATGGGGCATTTGTCTTTTGATTAAATCTTATCTATGGAATTATTTGTTTTTATATATTTCTGAAATTTGTTGAACAACTTTGCCTTTTTTGTCTCTTTCCCTTACCTAAAATATAAATGTAATATACAATACTTCATATACGACTGGAACATTATTTCTAGCAACACTTCATACATATCAAGCAGACTTGAAGCGTAGTGCATACGATATAACGAGTTAGCCGACGAAATTTGATATGCTCGCACAAATGTGACATATTTGAACTAGGCGAACATGAAGACAGTTGTCTAGTATTCGATTTCACACTACCTTTCGTCAGATGAAGTCTAACGCATCTTGCAAACAACTTAAATTCGTATAGTAATGAAGATTACTCAACTTGAACATAACACAACTAAGACATAAAACTAAGTTTCTTTAGTGCGAAATTAGCGCCCTTCATTAGAAGTTAGATAGGAAACCGTGAAGTTGCATTGCAAATGATATCATTTTTGTTAAACATTGTTCGTCATCATCTCCAATATTCACTCTCGCCACTTTTAACTGATTTAGTGTTTCTAAAGAGTGTGTACACTAGCGAATCAGCTTATTGATGCTACGGAAGCTATTGAGAATCCCAAAGTGAGAACGATTGATCCAATACAAGTTTTTCTGATGAGTGCATTTTTAGTATCTTTAAAACCGCAGAGTTTGCTAACAGTTGAGTGCCTGAGATCTCTGGCGCACTTTTGACTGATATTAAGTGAACCTGTCGATGAAAATATTTAGTGGACTGGCAAACTATCGAAACTTCCCCTAGAACAGGCACCATCACCCATATACTCGCTTCAATTTTTCCCTCCTTTTTTGATTTAGACGGATGATTGCATTGAAACTCCCCCAGTTTATCTCTATGGAGTGACTTTTGCAGCACTGACAGGCTCACCACATATGTTCAGGAATTCAGAACATGATATATATATATATATATATATATATATATATATAAGAGAGAGAGAGAGAGAGAGAGAGAGATTCATCTGGTTGACGATCTGTTTTGTAAAAATTAGTTAAATTAAACGAAAAAAAATTAATGCACAGCTCCTTTGATAATCCCAAATAAAAACACTTCAATATGAACAAAATGAGACTTTAACCTTGAAGGTAAGAGAGTGAATAAGGTTAACTATAATTACAGTGATATGACGAGAAAGTGCATTGGTGATTGAAAGAATAGTGCTAAAAATTTTATCTAGATACTATTTTTCACCTAAACATCACAGTTTTATGTAATCAAAACAAAAAGTTATTGTTCAAATTAGAAGAAATGTACGAAAAACAAAAACTTTAATTTACTTTCAAAATCCAACTTTCCTGATTGACAGATGACATAAGAAAAAATAAATATAAATAAAATCATCAGTGCAAAACACATAGTGTACAAAGAAAATAATAAAACAAGACCGCAATATGAGTAATACTACGTTTCCAATGATGCAACAGTAGTAAAGATAGCAGTTTTTACCATTTTCACTGCTTCGCCTGCTTTATTAATATATAATCGATCTTTCATACTAAATAATGACTGATCGTTTAGTTTTAGCATATCGCCTTCGTCATGTGGACAATAGTGAAATGTAATACATTCCGGGAAACGACGATTTGACGTGATTTTCACTACCATAGATAAGGGAATTGATCGATAAACAACAGCATATTTCGGGAGATCTGTAGTTGGTTTTTGAATAGCCGAATATTCAGATGATTTTGGATTCTTTTTGTTAAAAACAGACTGTAAAGTAGAACTAAGAGAGTTAATGAGTTGGTTAGGAAGTCGAGGAGTTGGATGACGCAACAAAATTAAATGACGTTCTGCTAAAACAAGTAAACCACTATCGCCTAATTGTCCATTAGGCCTTATAAATCGGGTACTAAATACACCTCTTACTTCTGGCCGTCTAGACCACCGGGTAGTATCAATTAAATCGCCAACTTCACAGCTGTCCATACCATCAATTCGAGGGGGGAAATCCCCATCCATGTCAGGTGCGACATGTGTAGATGCTTTAACAAAACGTTTTAACCAAGTTGACTGTTCAGATAACGTCGCATTTCTTGCTTCTTTCTCTGTATGATTGGGACTGTTTGTAATAGTCTCAGCTTCATCATCACATAGATCATCTTCGTCATAGTCATCATCAATACTGAATACAGATGATGTATTTCTGTAAGCAACGGGTTTTTTTGTTTCTTTATTCTGAACAGGTTGGTATGTAGGGGTTGTATCAGTTTTGATTGTTGTTGTTGGCACTGAACTTACACTTGAAAGTTTCAGAAGTTTTGGTACTTGATCCAAACTACGGCCAGTATTAAATATTGCATTTGAGAATTTAGAGAATAAACCAACACTCGAAGAGTTAACTGGTTGTACTTTTGCTTTTTCACTTATTAAACATGATGACTCCATTTTATTATCAGAAGTTGATAAAGGTACAAAGTTTTTTCCTCCAATACATCCTAAACATATTGTAGGTTCATGACCAATTAAACTCCTACCAACTTCATAAGTACCTAAGACTTCATGTAAAGCTGTATAACCACCTTCAATCAAACTGACATATGGTGTGTTTTGCCGGAGAAACTCAGCTACAACCATATTAGCTAGTTGATCTTCGTCTTTTCTCCCAGTACTTAAAAATGTGATATGCTTTCCAACAGCATATGAACCAGCAGCAAGTGACCGTTCTTGAGTTGATAATAAAAACTGTTTAAAAAATGTAAAAATATGCAGTGTGATAACAGTCAATGCTAGGGTTCAATCAGTATAATCAATTCATGAAGAAAGAATATAAACTTATTTTTTGATTTATTTAACACTTTGGGTAATCAGCATTACCATTTATTACAAACAAAAATAAAAATTCATGTTAATTCCGGGGAATGTTGTTTGCGATTTAATACGTTCTTTTTTCCAAAAAGTAGAATTACAGAATTTGCACGGTTTACTTTAAAAACAATTGGAGCTAGTCAACATGACTCCGAACAACTTAAGTTGGTTTCCATCATTTACATAACTGACTATAGCCTGTTAGTTGCATCCAATAACGTTTCTGATATTCAACCAACAAGTAGATTTAAATGTTTTATGAAAATAAGAAAGTTTTTTTGTGGTAAACTTCCCTTTAGCTTTGTAAAGTGTTTCTGTAACTATCGAAAATGTTTTGATAGTTTGAAGAAGTCCAATCGAATTTACCCTAATCTCAATATTTCCATAATAACGTAGTGTAAACCGACATTTCAGTAATGGATTCAATACGGTTAAAATTCGAACGTTCTCTTTATCTTATAAGTGCTTTAAAATCCGACAACAAAACACAATTAACGAAGAATTTCACGAAATAATTTGTTAATTCAAACTGTCGCATTTCTTACCGATATAAAAAGATCATTAAGAGTAATTTTAAGAGAAAGCAATTAACTAGCAAATTATTGCAACTTAATGGGGAATAATAAGTACAAAATAGTAAAATATTCAAGAATCAAAAATAAATCGTAAATGTATTAACATGGTGATCTTCTTTGAACCATATCATTAAAGATTTTTGGACACTAGGTTTTTATCACTGTATACTTCACTCTGATAGCATACAATAACCTAGCCCGATCGAAGCTGCTACCTTGACGCGGTGGTCGGGCTTGCCTATCGTGATGACCCAACCGAGCTATATTGGCTGGAACATATGTTCCTGCAGGTTCTACCATGCCAGGCAGGTCGATTGGAGAACGGTAAGACTAAAAGCAGCAACTCAAGGTCTGAGGGCGAAGTCGTACTGCTGACTGTAGAGGGGTGTGACAGCAGTAAGGTGTTTCCCTCGGACAACCAGCATGACAGCGATGCTGCCTTCCCACAAGGAGGGGTGGGGTTAGAAAAGGTCGACCCTAAAAATGTCACACCTCACCTTACCTCACGGATTTCCGTCTCCGGCGGTAAGGCCCTTTGAAGAACGGAGCTAACACGTCAAAAACCTTCCACAAAGAGGCCGTGCGCGACCGGTCTCAAGCAGTTGTCCCTTGGGCTCTGGGGTCACGCTCCCAGGTCGTCAAGACCAACACTAATCCAATTTTCTTTTCAGGTTCCTCAAGAAATACCCTTCCATGGTGTGGGCAGCTGGGAAGTGATAACAGCCCTCATACCCGTAACAGCACAAGAGACCAAGGTGGTCACATTCAAATCTTTCCTACACCTTCTAATACCTCTCTTACCTCCCCGACTAACCCTCCCCACGTCTCTTTATCACCTCGCACCGCTAGGGCAAACGATTCGAGTACGTGGAACGCTATTCCTGGTTTCCTGAAACCACGCTGTAAACTACATGTAGGAGCTTTTAACGTACGAACACTTTGACAAATAGGACAACAGGCTTCCTTAGCTAGGACTTTAGAATCCCGCGCCATCGATGTGTGCTGCGTCTCCGAAACGCGCATACACGATCCGAGTAGCGTCATTCATCTGACCTCACCATGCCAAAATAAAGAACCGACTCGATTCACACTTCGTGTATCTGGAAGCCTTGATTCTGCTTCCTGTGGCCTCGCCGGCGTAGATATAGCATTGAGTCCTAGGGCAGAACTAGCTCTCTTAGAGTGGATCCCAGTAGACAGTCGTTTGTGCGCTGTCCGACTGAACGGAACAGTAAGAATCCGGAAATACAGGGACACTCGTCGTTGCCTCTTCGTCGTCTCTGCCTATTCTCCCACTGACTGCAGCTCAGATGATGTAAAAGATGAGTTTTACAGGAAGCTCTCCGACCTTCTCCGAAAAGCTAGGCGTTCTGATGTAGTAATAATGGCCGGTGACTTTAATGCTCAAGTAGGTAAACTAAGCGATAGGGAAAGACACCTAGGTGGATCTTATGGTGTCGTGGCTCAAAGAACAGATAATGGCGACCGTCTGTTGCAGCTATGCTCAGATAACCGCCTGTTCTTTGCAAATACTAACTTTAAGCATAAGGAAAAACATCTTTTAACATGGCGACCCCCTAATTCGTCCCAACGTTGGATCCAAATAGATCACATCGCTATCAGCCACCGATGGAGGGGCTCGATAGAAGACTGCCGTTCATTCTGGAGCAGATGCTTAGAGTCAGGTCATGCTCTAGTGCGAGCGCGTATCTGTCTGCGTCTTACTGGACGTAGGAAAGACGCTGCAAGGAAACCTTAGGGTCCTGTTTAATGATAGTCAAGCTAAGAGTATATTTCAGGAACAACTAGGAAAACAGCTAGGCAGCCATGTATGTGATGCCCACCCCGATGCAGCATGGAATGATATCCGAAAAGTTGTGGAAACAGCAGTGATATCTGCTAGTAAAGTAAACCAGAAGGTTAGGGAGCAACACTGGATCTCAGCAGCATCTATCTCACTGACAGATGCTCGGAAACTCATTCCACCTGGCTCTGAACATAATTAGGAGCGGAGTCAGCTTAAGCGCAAGCTGACAAGAAGCCTACGCAATGATCGCGAACAGTGGTGGGTGGCGAAAGCAAGAGAGATGGAAAAGGCAGCGGCAACAGGTAATAGCAGACAATTGTCCAGACTCGTTAAGGAAACCGGAATTAGGAACCCGACCGTTAGCGAAACAATCTCAGAGAAAGATGGACATATTATTCACTCTCAATCCAGGAGATTGGATCGATGGGCAGAACACTTTAAGGATCAGTTCAACTGGCCTTCAGCCACACTTCGGTTTCCCACGATCTCTAGTCAACCTGAATGGCAAGTTAATGTAGGTCCTCCGTCCCTTTACGAAGTTGAAAAAGCCATAGGAAATCTGAAGCGAGGGAGAGCAGCAGGCCCTGACAGGTTTACTCCTGAGATTTTTAAGGATGGTGGTCCAGTATCAGCAGTGAGATTAACTGAGGTCTTAGGTAGGATTTGGGAACTGGACGTAATCCCATCTGACTGGTCTCAGTCACTGATTGTGCCAGTCTATAAGAAAGGACAAAAGTCCTCTTGTGACAATCAGAGAGGAATCAGTTTGACTAATATAGTGTCTAAAATATTAGCTTCAATAATACTTCGACGCCTAACTAAAGTTCGTGAAGAGCAGACTAGAGAAAATCAGGCTGGTTTTCGACCTGGACGTGGTTGTATAGACCAGATATTCACACTACGTCAAGTTCTAGAACACAGACACACATTCAGACGCCCCACAATGGTAGTATTTCTCGACCTGAAGGCGGCATTCGACTCTGTTGATCGTGAGGTTCTATGGCAGTGTTTGTCACTTAAAGGAGGACCAAAGAAGTACATTAACCTTGTAAAGGCTCTCTACTCGAACACAACTGGTCGAGTGAGAGTTTATGGCGAACTGTCATCGGAATTGAGTACCTCAAGTGGTGTTCGTCAGGGCTGTCCACTCTCCCCATTCTTGTTCAACTTTGTGGTCGACGTACTTTTAGAGATAACACTCCTCATCTAAATTTCCAGGGGTTGAACTTCTACCGGGAGGTTCACTTGTTGACTTAGAATATGCCGATGACATAGTTTTATTTGGTGAAGACGCTGACAAAATGCAGTCTTCTGACCACTCTAAGCAACAATGCAAGCATGTTCGGCATGCGATTCTCCCCCTCGAAATGCAAGATGTTGCTTCAGGATTGGGTTGCATTGACACCCGAACTAATGATAGGGAGTGAAGTAATTGAGCGTGTCGATCGCTTCACTTATCTGGGAAGTCTCATCAGCCCTTGTGGTTTAGTGTGTGACGAAATCTCAGCACGGATACAGAAGGCTCGACTAGCTCTTGCCAACTTGCGTCATTTATGGCGTAGGCGAAATATCTGTCTATCAACCAAAGGACGTGTTTACTGCGCAGCAGTTCGTTCCGTCCTACTTTATGGCAGTGAAACATGGCCGGTAAGAGTAGAGGATATTCGTAGGTTACTAGTATTTGATCATAGGTGTCTTCGAAACATTGCTCGTATATCCTGGGACCACCGAGTAAGTAAGGCAGTTGTTAGGAAACGGGTACTAGGTAAGGATGGCAAACTTCACCAGTTGAGATGGCTTGGACATGTGTTACGTATGCCCAACGACCGACTGCCTCGACGTGCTATGTTCAGTGATATAGGAGTAGGTTGGAAGAAAGCTAGGGGCAGCCAAACCAAAACATGGCACAAGTCCATGAAGTCACTGACAAGTGGACTGAGTCATGTTGGTAGGTGTAGACTACCTGGTTGGGGACCGCGAGATGACAGCAACCGATGGTTAGAGACCCTGAATGACATGGCTTAAAATCGTTTGCAATGGCGCAGGTGCATCCACTCTCTGTGTTCTCCCAAATTCTAATATTCTGAATTCTTCATGTCCCTTTTTTCCTCTTTCCAAATTTATTTCACTGGATTATACTCTTTAAATAACATCTCCAAACCCTAATCTTCCCTATTACTGCTTATACTCTTGCTTCCTCTACCACTATGGGATTTGAATCGTCAACTGCATCTCTGTGCTAATGTGGTGTGGCAACTCGAACTGATGTACGTACGTACGAAGTTCTACGTTGTTACTGACTGACTGACTGACTTTATTTGGTTATATTACGATCGAAAAAGTCACAATAACAACTATTTAGTAGATAGTAAATCCAACTTAGCATCCATACTTAACACAGATCTAAGAGACTGAGTTTTATTTGTTATTTGAGAAATGAATCAAATAGAAAAACCGCAATAGATACGTGATCTTTAAATTGACAACTCACTAAGAGAAAGTCCGGAGCCTGAAAAATTAAGCCAAACTTTAATTTGACATGAGGTTGGACGATCTTATGATAATTATAAATAAACAATTCATTTATATTTGAAGGAAAAATAGATAATATTCAAAATTCATACTTACCGAAAGAAGTCTGATCATTAGTATACGAAAGTAAATTATTTGTATTTGAATCATTTTCATTATCCTCAGTTTTATCGAACTGTTGGTTAAGAAGAACGGACTTGGTATTAACAATAAGTAGTAATCCAATATAGAAGCCAAGCAAAGGATCAGACTTCAAGAAATATAAATCCCATAGGGATGGTATAACATCTTCTGATATAAAATCAGCGTAAAGACTTGACATCCAAGGTATGAAATAACTTTCAGGAGTAACTTTTAATGAATCCAAAAAGCTGCACAACTTTGGTTCGTGATATTGCAACAACAAACGGAAAACTATGCTTACACATTGATCAATATTTACTCCCGTAGCAACGAAACGATGGTAGAATGAAACAAAACTCGCATACAGTTCCGACCGATTGGTCGGTTTCAGGACAATGAAAAGTACTTTAAGTATTGATACCCAACCGTTGATTGAACTATATTTCAAACGATAAGTCTGAGCGAAATGTGTTAAAACAGATTCCAAATCACTAGATATCTTTGCAGCTGGTGGGAGGAACATACTGAGGGATGACGCTTCTAAATCTGAATCATCATTATCACTGTTCACTGACAGATTAGAGATATTTTTCGACTGTTGAAGACTATACTGTTTGGTCAGACGATTAAATAACTCCTTAGAAGCCAACTCACAATCTTCATGAAGTTGTGACTGATTTTCTAATTCGAAAACATCGTTAAATGTAGCCATTGCTTGCGACTGAGTGTCCAACCTCAGACATATGCGCCAAACGTCAGGGCGTAGATTTTCAGGGACAGGGCGCATGGCACAAATATCCCGAATTCGAAAAATGTCAGCATCCTCTAAAGAGAAAAAAAGGCAGTGATGAGACCAGAATAAACAAAACAGAAGTCATTAAAAAGAGTAGTTGTTCTTGCTATGGTAATGTATTCTTAGGGATGTCAAGCTTTTCCAATTTACTACATCTGTACCCTTACTTACCGAACAAAAACATTATTTTGAACCCTTAACAGAACTACTTCTGGATCAACAAAAGTAGTAGCCCCCAAATGCCCTGGTATGACCGAGAGTGGGGTGGGCCCGCCCTCCCTCTCCAAATACTCTCACACGGCCACACGTATACAGCATCGGCGCATATATATTGGCGCTCTCTTGTACCAATATTCATGTGTCCAAATAAATAAATAAATAATACAGCATCGGCCAGAGAAGTCCTACTCAGTGCATTCTCGTGATGGGGGTGTTGTTTACGAAAATGAAAGGACGAAAAGTGAATGTTCGGCGCTTTAACCGGATTCCAAACCAATGGTGCACATGGGCTCCAGTATCCTGATTATTATTATTATTATTATTATTTGGACACATGAATATTGGTACAAGAGAGCGCCAATATATATGCGCCACAACTGATTGTTTTTCGGAGCGAGAAAAGCGGTTGCCATAGACATAGAGTTCATCCTTTGTATCCTGAGAGAACAAATGACGTATGAACCAATTTTCGGTCACCGGCTACCATGGGACTGCATCTCCTTACGATGCTCCACTGCCTTGTGGGTTAGACCTTTAGATCAAAGGCTCGGGGTGTGGCCCCCTAAGACAACCACCTTCTTCGGTCAGCGCACCCAGGCAGTATCACAGCCCACACACAAATGATGAACCCTATCTATGGAAACTACTTTTCTCGCTTCGAATAACAATCAAATGATCCAAATTATTATCATTACTATTATTATATTTATTATTATTATTATATTATTATTATTATTATTATTATTATTTACTACAACATTATTCACCCTTTTTTATTCCTACTCTGTCTGTACTTATTATTTCGACCTATAGAGCAGCTCGTCTTAGGTGGAAATTCGACTCTGTCTAAACGTTCTCGAGTCACTGTCCAGTTGAAAATCGTATTTTACCACCGAATATGAGTACTGAAACAGTTTTTCTGAAACCACGTGCACCATTCAAACTGGATACCTTCAACGTTCGCACACTTATGCAGGTCGGACAACAGATAGGGCTAGCTATGTCTTTGGAAAGTCTTAATATTGACGTTTGTTGTCTAGCCGAGACCCGTATTCAAGACTCTGGTGAAGTACTACAAATTCGCTCTCCATCTGTTGCTTCTAAAAGCTTGTCTTACGTGCGTTTATCCGAGGACCCTGTGACATCTTCGTCTGGTCTTGCTGGCGTTGGTGTCGCACTTAGCACTAGAGCTGAGGCAGCACTAATCGACTGGATCCCCATTAACAGTCGGTTATGTGTTGTTAGATTAGAGAGGTCCATCAAAGTGAGAAGGAATCGGCGTGAGAAACGATGTCTTTTCGTCATCTCCGAGTATGCAACGACAGATTGCAGCCCAGATGCAATCAAGGATGAATTTTACCACCAGTCAACTGTTCTTCTCCAGAAAGTGAGTTCGACGGATACTGTAGGACTAGACGGAGACTTGAATGCTCAGGTCGGGCGTCTAGGCACAAAAGAGAGTCGTTTAGGTGGCCGATGGGGGCTTGCTGATCGCAGGACAGATAACGGGGACCGTCTACTGCAACTGTGCACAGACCACAACCTGTTTTTAGCTAGCAATAACTTTCGGCACAGTCATCGCCGATGTGCCACCTGGCGTCCTCCATCTGCATATCAAGCCTGGACTCAGATTGATCACATCGCGATCAGCTACCGCTGGAGTGGTTGTGTACAAGACTGCCGCTCCTTTTGGAGTACCTATCTGGGCTCTGATCATGCCTTGGTCTGCGCCCATCTTACCTTACTTTTCAGTGGACAACGAAGTGACCGCCACCAACGGACTGATATTAGCAAGTTGGTTGCAAATTCTGTTGCAATGAACTATCGAACCGAGCTAGCTTCTAGACTAGCTACCATTCCACCAAAAAGTAAAGATGAACATTGGTTTCGCGAAATGTCCCGCTTATAAGCACTGGGTTTCTTCTGGTTCCTTACAACTCATCGAAGCCCGTCGGTCTACTCCGGATGACCGTGAGTTTGACCACAAACGAAGGCTGTTACGTAATGAAACCAGGCAAAGCTTGCGTAAGGACCGAGAAGCCTGGTGGTCGGAGCGTGCTAATGAGCTGGAAGCAGCAGCTGCATCTGGTAACTACCGGAAGCCACTCCAACTCATCTGAGCCACTGGCAGCAAAAAGTCTGATGTGAGCGAAACAATCTGTGAGGATGACAGGATGCCAATCATTAACATCCATCGACGTCTTGGACGATGGGCAGAATTTTTCGAAGGGCAGTTTAACTGGCCGAGAAGTTCGTGTATCCAGGTAGCTGCATAAGTGCTGGTGGTGGTGTGAGTGATGAGATCAATGCACGTATAGTGAAAGGCAGAGCGGCTTATGCCAATCCAGGCCATATTTGGCGCCTTCGTGATGTTAATCTGGCTGTAAAAGGTCGGATCTACAACGCGTCGGTGAGAGCAGTTTTGCTCCATGCTTGTGAAACCTGGCCTCTCCGAGTTGAGAACGTTAGACGACTCTCCGTGTTCGGTCATCGTTGTCTCCGAAGGATTGCTGACATCCAGTGGCGACACCATGTTAGTAATGCAGAGGTTCGGCATCGTGTGTTCGGGCACGGAGACGATAATGCAATTGATGTCACTATCTTGAAACACCGACTTCGGTGGCTTGAACATGTTCTACGAATGTCGTCCCAGAGAATTCCACGTCGTGCATTATTTGCCGACTCTGGGACTGGTTCGAGAAAGTGGAGGTGGTCAGTATATGACACGGTGTCGTGGGATGAAAGAAAGCTGCAAAGGACTGGCTTCTGTTGGTCCTTCAAGACTCCCTGGCTGGGGTCCGAGAGATGGTGCTACACAGTGATTAGAGACGTTATCAGATATGGCTCAGAATAGAAGCCAGTGGCGATCCTGCTGTAACCTCTTTAACGATGCATGCACCTGGCTTCGTGCTGGACTGTATGTACCCTGGCCTGGTGGTTATTACCCTAAGCTCCAGTGGTTGAATATGGCATGCACCTGGCTTCGTGCTGGACTGTATGTACCCTGGCCTGGTGGTTATTACCCTAAGCTCCAGTGGTTATTATTTTCTTGACCGGGGTACCTAGCCTGTCGTATGCCCTGATGGTGTTCTCGTAACTTTCGGGTTGCCTGATCGGCCAAGGCCGATGGGACAGTGCATGATGCTATTGTTGTGTGCTAGGTTCAAAGAGAATTGTATGCTATATGCATGCAAATCCGCCCTGTTATTGTTCCTATTTGGAATCTTTTACACTGTTGAAGCGATCCGGTTTGGCTTGCCGTTCACGGGTTCGCTAACTGGCATGCACCTGACTTCAAGCTGGACTGAATGCACGCTGGCTTTAACTTCATCATAAACCTATTGATGGAAATAACACTCTCGTCGACTGAATTCTCGGGTATTGATCTCATACCAGGAGGTCAACTTACCGACTTAGAATACGCGGATGACATAGTCCTGTTTGGTGAAGACGCTGATAGAATGCAGTCCTTTGATAGCACTGAGCAACAATGCCAGAATGTTTGGAATGCGCTTCTCTCCCTGTAAATGTCAGGTGCTGCTTCAGGACTGGTCTGCGCCATTAAAAGTAGAAGACACTCGTGGGCTACTAGTATTTGACCACAGATGCCTTAGAAATATTGCTGACGTCTGCTGGGATCACTGGGTAAGTAATACTGAGGCTAGACACAGAGTATTAGGGAGTGATGGCAATTCAGTTGATATGGTTGTGAATCTTCATCGACTGAGATGGTTAGGCCACGTGTTGCGTATGCCTGAACACAGATTACCACAACGCGCAATGCTGACTAGTGTTGGCGATGGTTGGAAGAAAGTCAGGGGCGGCCAAACCAAAACGTGGCATCAGTCCTTGAAGTCACTAACTTCTAGTCTGAGCCATGTTGGTAGATGCAGACTACTTGGTCGGGGTCCGCGTGACTATCGTAACCAATGGTTGGAGACTCTTGTTGACATGGCTCAGAATCGATCACAATGACGTTGGTGTATACACTCTCTATCTTCCCTTAAACTAAGAGATTAAAATTGCTTCATGTCTTTCTTTCTACGAACTAATTCTTTCTTCTTGTACTATATCCTTATTGCAATCTTTGTTTTATATATTACCACCTCTGAATTAACTACTTTCATGAATCCGGTGTCCATCTTGTTGTGTTAATGAGGTATGGCAACTTGGACCGATGCATAAATGTGCCTGGTCCTACGTTGTAGCTGACTGACTTTCTTCATAAAAAAGTGGTTGTGTCTTCCTTAACTGAAAGATTTCTTCTGATTGTACCTTTACGTTCCCCCATTTTTACCATTCTTATTATTACACCACCTTACATCAATCTCTTCGTTATTATTCTCTCCTTTTCTTTCCTTCCCCTTAAATTCTCATTGTTTTGTGTTGCGCATATATATTTGGCGCATTCTTGTACCAATATTTGTGTGTTCAAATAAATAATAAATAATAAGTTCACAGCATTATGTAAAAACGATTTTTCTACGGTATTAATTGGAGAACTTCAACCGTCTGCGAATCTAATAAGGATAAAATATGTTAGACAATTATATCCTTTGCATCCTAATACCAACGTTTAACATCCTACTTGCTGTCAAGCTGGAAAATCTAACCTTTATCTGTTATCTTGAAAAAAACCCACTCTAAATATGAACAATGTACCCGAGGATTCAGACAAGAAAATTAACTGATACAGAGTGAAACTGACTTTGTCGAAGAAAACCGGAAGTTTCACTGTAGCGGAATCTAATGAGCGAAACTGTGAGTGGACACGTGCTGATAATTTCTATTTTCAACTGATCTGAATGAAAAATTAATATGGATGTATTAGGAAGTACGTTGTTTTTTTCACTCACGGAAAATCTAGCATCTAACAAAGTGATTTACCAATCCTACTCTTAACTAGGTCCCCAGAATTTGTCGAAACGATGAGGAATGAATACAGATGTACTGATCGTAAATACACAGATATATGATAGCACTTTATATTGACTTCTTTTACTTACGGCATTAGCAATAGTTGAATAGTAAGTTTGGCCCGTGACGAAAGCCACTCGACGTCCTACGTAATTTTAGCACTACAGTAGCTAAGATGCATTTAAAATGACCAGCTGAGGATGTGATCCGTACCTTCAACAACATTTAATCCAAATGTTTTAAAATAGAATCAGTCAGCTACAACGTAGGATCAGGCACATACACGCATTGGTCCAAGTTCCTATACCTCATTAGCACAACACCAAATTCATAGTAGTTACCTTAAATGGTAATAACATAAGGATATGATACAATGAGAGAGAAGTGGTTTATGTGGAAAAAAAGTATCCTCTACCCTTAAAGACCACGTTTTGCAGCCGCGAAGGAAAACAGAACGAACTGCTGAGCAGTATACTCGTCCCTTGGTTGATAGACGAATATCTAGTCGTCATAAGTGACGTAAGTTGACAAAAGACAAACGAGCTTTCTGAACCCATTAGGTCTGATCACACTACCAACACAAGTGAAGTTGTTGACGCGTTCGACTAGTTCACTCCTTATCCTTAGTTCAGGTGTTGGCGCAGGCCAGTCCTGAAGCAAAAATTTGCATTTAAAGGGGGAGAAACACATCCCAAACATCCTGACATTGTTGCTCAGTGCTACTGAAAGACTGTATTTTGTAAGTTTTCACAAAACAGGACTATGTCATCTGCGTATTCTAAGTCAATAAGCGAACCTCCTGGAAGTAGGTCGATTCCCGAAAATCTAGACGACGAGAACTTTATTTCCAGCAGTAGCTCTGTGATGAAATTGATGGTTATTTATTATTATTTATTTGAACACATAAATATTGGTACAAAGGAGCACCAAATACATATGCATCACACAATTCACTTGATTTGTGTATGGGCTATGGTACAGCTCGGGTGTCGAAACCGAAACAGGTGATTTTCTTAGGGGGCCACATCTGGATCCTTTGACCTAAAGGTCTGGTCCACGATGCAGTGGAGCAACGTCAGGAAATGCAGTCATATGGTAGCCAGTGACCAAAAATTGGTTCATTTGTTCCCTCAGGATCCTGGAGCCCAGGTGCACCATTAGTTTGTGATCAGGCCTACGTTCTTAACGACATAAGCTCTACACTTTTCATACAGTTTTATCCTTAGTGAACAATTCCTTCCTGTTATTTACGGTTTTAAAAAACTGGTGGAACGAAATAATCCTCTAGGATGCGCTAGCGCTGAGCCCAGAGAGCTTACTGATGCGAGAATCTAAGGCGTCATATTCTTTGTGAAGTAACTGGAGCCCACAATGGATTCATAGTGACTAGACTAAAATAAAACATAATTATATATATGATTATACAAAGCTGACGTATTTTATTACCAAGATATCTCTCATTAACTACCAGTCTCTAAATTGTCGAAAAAGCGTTGACAAACAAACATTTAGGATTACCTAACAGTGCGATCTCAAGGTTAACCTTCCAGGATTCATCCACTTCGGTCACATCGGACGAATCTGACATTGTAAATAAATTATTCCAGAGAGCGCTACCAAGGCAAAGTGTATATTCAGTGTCCAATAAATAGAACTGGCGTTTCAGATTGTGTTTGCTGACCAATGTATTCACTGTATTTATAAATATTTTATGTTCCTTTTAAATCTATCATAATAGTGTAATGCAACTTCACACTACTTACTGTGAATGCGAGTTTTTGTCTTATCAAGGTTCTAAACTTACCAACATTAGTACTATTTGGTCATATTATTTAAAGTTTACACAATTCCAGTTAGAGTTTTCAAAATTGTTATCTTGACTTCAAGAGCTAATCTTAAATTTTAAATTACGTTCATCTGAGTACTGTCATTATTAAATTTCCTATGAATTTCTTCCATAAAGTCAACAATACAGTTCCATTACCTTAATACCAGTTTAAGGTGACCCATAATTGGTGTTTACTATGAAATGTAGTCTCAGCGTAGGCCAGGTTACACCGTTCTCATCCAACTCGCCTAAACCCATCTGTCAACCAAGTGATCTGTATGCATCCGCTCTGAGTAGCACTGATGTTTCTTCAATTAGCAGACGTAGATATATTAAATTTAAGTGAAAACAGGCCATCAAAACATACGGGTAAACTAGCACAATCTATTACGCCATGTTCGTAATATTAAAGTCCTTCTAATTACAATATAATCAAACGGCGTTAGCATCAAATGTTTCTAGTGTGAACGATAGGTAAAAGCGGTAGAATTAATATGCTAATTCGTAGTTCACAGGGCTATCCGCTTCGTACTCTAGTTATCACGAGTGGACCAGTATTCAGCTCAGGTAATTAAGCACTTGACAGACGGACAAATCATGGGAGAATCATATTTCATCAATATGGTGTTAGGCAGACTGCTCGCTGCACTTCCTAGGACATTCACGTTTCATTTTCTCACCTTACATTCCCTTGCTCTCTCTGATTTTCATGTAGAGGGCACGTACAGGTTATGTGCGATAATCCGTAGAAAGAATGTAGGTATTTTCGATACAAAATAACGAGCTAGTAAAAGACATATGTGAAATCTATAAACTATCTGTGACGACTGATTAAGCAGTAGACGTCATTGGTTGTAAAATAATGGAAGTCAAACGCTGAGAGTTAGTAATGCGCCATTATGGCGAGGAATCCAAATTAATATGTCAGTTTAACAAATCAGTCGAACCAACATTCCTATGGAAGTCGGTTATTGGAGGAAGTTCAAGTAACAACTTAAGTTGGATGGGTAATAGTTGATCCAAGGCATCTCGGTAACATCAAAACAATACAGCTCAAGTGTTTATTTACTTCCTTATTTTTATTGGGCATTATATTTCTTAGAATCTCACACTGAACGGTGAAAACTCACAAACTGTTCTGTCCCTCGATATGAATAAATACCCATTACAACCACTACTTTGGCTCCTTCCAAATAGAAATAAGGGCGTAACTTACAGCATTAAAAAACTACGTTTCAGATGATGTTATCAGTAATCATAAGGCCATTCGTCAGTGTCCTGTTTATTGATATTTACACATCACATGTAGTGGTTTTTGGATGGGAATTTGTAGAGGACGTAATATTTCAGCAGTTGGACTCACGATTCGATCCAAGCTAGACTACCATTGAAAACCTGGAAGCAATGGATGGCCGTTTCGTTTTAGCATGGGACTTCCCAGCAAAGCGCATCAAAAGTTACCTTTACCTTTGAATATACTTAATTATATATAGCCATCAAGTATAGCCAAGTAAATAAATCTAACACACCCTTCGTAAGATCGTTAAATCCAATCATGACGGAATGGAGAGCGCTTAGATTATTGTAGTCCCTATCTATAACGGTCAACATATCAGAAAAGCAGATGGTTTTATAGGGATTTGTAAGTGATAATGACCATGTCAAACTTATTGAGCACTAATAATTAAGGAAATACGGTCAAGCATCGCGATCGTATCACAGTACACTTCATATGATATCCATTTAATGACATACCAAATAGTTCAGCATTTAACTGCTCCTGCATATGATTGAACGGATTGTTTTCCCGATGCCAGCGCCTCATTTTATCTAATCTTTTCATTTTATAGGGAATGAGGTAATTCGGTAACACGTACGAGATGGTCTGACCCCTTGCTTTATGCCTTGTTGACGGTTGAAAAACAGACTCACCCGGTTCATGGAATTGCATATGATCAGTACATCAGTTGTGTGTCTTTAAATAACCGACATCCAGAATTTCCACCATAGATATCCTGACCTTCTTCACAACAATCCCCGTGGCTGTATGTAACATCTACAGATTCTAAACTCCTCATATTCGAACGAATAATCCTTCCTTTTCATAACTTTGATGAGGTCTCTTTCGTTATAGAATGTTTAGCGCTTCTATATTGCAGTAGACATAAGCCTACTCCCATCTGCAGCTCATCCAATGTTGAAGCAGTAGTGGAATCAATAAAAGTTTTCAACGTTCAAATGAAATTCTCTGCCTGACCACTAGTAGGAGACTGTCAAGAACTTGTGAACAGATGTCTATATCCTATCCCATTCAACCAGGTAGTGACTGTATCTGTAGTCATTAGTAACTAACACCATAGGGACTCCTCCCGACTAAAAACTTTCCTTAATACTGGGAAGGTAAAGTCACAATTCATTGAAATTGGGAAAAATTGTAAGTCGACTGAGAAACAAACAACGACAGCAAGTGCATAGTATTTGCCACAAAATGGACTACAATAGTCTCTGTGAATTCTTTGCCATAGAGTCCACTTCGAAGTATGATTTCTAGAATTAGGAAATCTTCCACATTTGTTTACTGCTAGACAGATTCATGTAATCATCTCGGGTCATCAACATGTTAGCCTTGTCAATGACTTCAATTTCTCAACACCTAAATGTCCACTATGAACACATTCAAGGACAGATCTACGCAAAGAAGGAGGAATAACAACACGATCATTTAAACACAAAATATCATCAGGAATATATATATATATATATATATTTCAATATTATATTTTTGGTACAATATAAAATTTTCAGCGTAAAGTATTTCAACAAGTTTCCGTTTCTTTCTTCTTGGTTGGTCCTGGCGATAAATATTGAGTGATAGCCAGTTAGATGTTATCAGTTCAGTAAATGAACATCTGAATAATGTGCATTCTTTTCGTTGTATATTGCCAGCAACCACATTGTCTCTTATTGAGCTTTTTGTAACCTTGACAACGAAAGGTTTTACACTTTCCAGAAACGCAGCAGAATAGGTTATGCGATTAATAAACATAATGATATATTAAAACAAACAAAACTAGATAACTTGTTGAAATATCTAGATGGCAGGAACGAGTAGCCCAGATGCTCAAGCAGGCCGCCCTTTACTGGACGCCATCACTCTGAAGAAACTCTGGTAAACTTCGTAGGCATGTCTCTTGTTTCTCACCTTATTTAAGTAAGTTGGATGTCAAAATATTAAATAAACAGTCGGCATGACAATAAAAATTAGCAATGAAACGGGAATAGTAATGAAGAGCGCCCATTAGTGAACATAGTTCCGCAAGATTTTTCAGAGATGGTGCATTTGTCAATGGAGCTGGTTGCTTGATATCTGGTCTAAAACCGTTACTATCAACTAGGTATGCAAGACATTCAAAATCATATTCACAAAATGAACACTTATTTGGGTTCACCATAATATCGTATAATATAAATATATATTATGCAATATAAAGAAGAAGAAGACACTAGCTGAACTAGAAACCCGTGGACAAAACGGCGAGGAAAATCTCCGGCTAGTGGGTTTTCGAGCAGTCAGGTCTTGGAAGCGATAACATAAAAATTTGGAGATTCATACACAGTATGTGGGATGGATAGTATTACAGAGTGATCTTAGCTCATTGGTGGCATGGATGGACAGGTGGTCACTAGAAGTAAATCCTAACAAGAAGGTGGAGATGCAACTAAATAACTAATGATTCGTACCATTACATAATATGTGGATTCATGCTACCCAAGGTAAGAAACTATAAAGATTTAGGAGTCATATTAAGCAGTGATCACTAAACCATCAGTCACTGTAAGGCTGCTGCTGCTGCGAAAGGCTATAGGGTGTTATGGTCTATTTGTAGGTCTGTAGAATCATGGTTTATTATGATATTAGCACTGCTCTAATAATAGACCTAATCCTA